GCAAACCTCCTTGGCACATATTGGGGTATTACGTCAGTCACAAAAATTGTATTTGCCAATTTTCCATGAGCATCTGCTATTTAAAGTAAGTCATGCCTCTGACAACTGGGAAGAATTCAGATTCTTCCAGAGGATACGCCTCCTAAAATTGGAGTTACATTTTCATTTAGAGTTAAAAAAAAAAAAAAAACTTACACAAGTTATTTTAATCACTGAGAGAAAAATCAAGCACAACTGTGTAACTGTGTAGTATCTTGCCATCATCAATGTATCTGTCTTCTGGATTATTGAAGGAGGTATGTAATAGAAGAGAAAGTGGCAGTAAAATGATTTCTGTTCCTATAATTCATGTTCCAAAAATCATCCAAGAGGACTCGGGGTATAGCTCAGTGGTACAGCACTTGCCCAACAAGTGAGGCCCTGGGTTTCATCCATAGCATCATACACATATTAAAAAAAGAAAAGAAAAAAATCTCTCACTGTTTGGGGATGCGGCTCAGTGGTAGAGCATTGGCCTGACACCTGTGAAACCCTGGGTTTGATCCCCAGCACCACAGGGGGGTAGCGGGGAGATCAATGCTTGGTTAAAAATAGTTTATTTACATTCTTGCTTAAGTACAAATACACCCATTTTTTTAAAATAAATCAGACTCAAATTTTAGGGTTTAGAAATTAAAGCCCAGTTGTGTGTTTTGAAAGCCACACACACATCATTATGCTGCAGCTCTTCATTTGCAACTTCCTGACTTCTTCAGTTTACATGCCACAGAGCAAAAACACCTGTGCACCCTATAAAAAACAGAACCAAATTTCAAAGGTGGGAAAGAATCCCTTTATAGAATTTATTTTTCCAAAGAACCTTCTGCAAAGCAGACCTACATAAAGGCAAAGGAGACAAGTCACTGAAGGGAGTGGAGAATCTACCTAGCTGCTCTGGGGGCAGTGACATCCTCATCCCACCTGGCTATCAAAGCATTGAATGGGCAGGGTACTGGGATGCTTTGGGAGCAAATTGGGTGCCTGTGTGTTTTCCAAAGTCAGCTTCTCACCCATCCTGGGATGATCAGATACAAACACACATGGTCCAGTGCAGATGGAACACAGTTCTTAGCAGCTGCTGAAGGCCAAATTCAAGGACACAGTCTCCCCAAATGTTTCATTAATAATTAACACTGGTCAGTAATTGGGGCTGTAATACATTAAAAACAGTGCTGAGTGCTTTATAAGCCTTATCTAATCCTAACAAGAGCCCTAGGAGGTGAGTGCTGATAAACCTCATCAATAAGGAAACTTGGGCAAACAGGTAACCCTCCCAGGTCAAATAGGCTTATCAGCCTAACAATTTTTGCATTGATCTCTTGGACCTCAGGCCACAGGACATTACCTGGGCCTAGACATCAAGCTGTGAGAAATTCTGTGTAATTTTTGGGTATGAGAAGCTGTGTGTAGTTTACCAGTGGAGCCCAACCTGTGATTCAAGTCATTTAAACTATATTAGTACATTTTCTGTGACTATAATGAAATATCACAGCAGAATAATTTAACAAAGAAGAGGTTTATTCAGTTCACAATTCTAGAGGTTAAAGAGCTTGCCTTGAAGAACATCTGGTAATGTCCTTCTTGTTGACAGAGTCCCAAGGTGGTACAAAGGTGTCACATGGCAGGATACAGGGACTTTGTGTGTCTTCTGTATCTCTGTCCTCTTCTTATAAAGTGACCAGGATTTAATCATGAAGGCTCCACCCTGATGACCTTATCTAATTCTAATCTCATTCCAAAATCCCATCTCTGAATACTATGGTTAGATTTTTTCCATCTTAACCTCACAGTGGGGAGTTTTGAGGAGACAGACCATATTCTCACAATAGTACCAACCAGCCTCACACTCAGGAGTGAGAAGCAAGCAGATTCTCCCCCAAGTATGAGAGAGAAGTAAGTCATCCTCACAGGCTGTGTCTAGAATTCTGACCCACAGGACATGTGAGCATAATAAAAAGGTGGTTGTCTTTGTGCCACTAAACGTGGGGGAGGCTTGGTATGCAAAAATGGTAACTGAAATAGAATCCGCTTACAATCAATCCTTATTTTATAGATGAGGAAAAAAGCAAAGTATAGTAAAGAGAACCCAAAGATTCCAACCTAGGCGTGACTCAAAAGACCCACCTGGAACCTCTAAAGTGTACTGTAACACCCACATGCCATTGTTTGTTTGTTTCTTTAGTAGGGTTATTTCCAACATGTGTATCCCAATTCTGCCTATTTTTTTTTTTCTGCCTATTTTAGAAGGCCTTTCATCTTCCTATGTTTGGAGAATATATGTCAGTGATTCTTAGACCTGGGTGCACATCCTTATGCATGGAAGGTTTGTTAATTCTAGATAAAAGGTCCCTATTCCTAGAGTTCATGATTCTGGAAGTCTAGGATGGGCCCCAGAATTTGCATGTCCAAAAAGTTCCCAGGTAAGGAAATACTGCCAGTTGGGACCATGCTTTGAGAACTGCTGGTCTAGATCTAGATATTTCTGAAGGAGTAACACAAGTTTCAAGAGGGATGATTTTGGTAAATAAGTCATCCTGCTGGTTTTAACACACACACACACACACACACAGAGAGAGAGAGAGAGAGAGAGAGAGAGAGAGAGAGAGAGAGAGAGACTAGGTCAAAGCATCCCTTCCACAAATTTCTAGGTAGCTCCTAGTGAAGCCACAGCCTGGCTTGTTCTTTTTCTTATTCTTACCACTCTGGTCCACAGACACTGGTCTGCAATGAACAAGGATGTGGCTGACTGATGAGTGGCTAGGAATGCCCATTTGAAATGAGAAAGCTACAGAATAGATGCTTTTCTACAAGACAGTTTTCTGAAGGTCAATGTCTGGGGCTGAGACTCCACAGGCAGTGTCTGAAGCCAGACTTGTGAATTCCTGGCTTGAAGCTGGCCAGGAGGGGGTTGCAGTCCCTGGGACCCGGAGGGATGTGGGACCGGGGTGACATGGCTTAGAGTTGAATGAGTGGAGCAGAATATGAGCTATCAAGCCTTTATTCAGGAGAAATAAATGAAAGAAAAAGGATTCAGAATTTCTTGCTGACTACCCCTGACCCTAGCTCATAGAATCCTTGGTCAGCCTAATGAGGTCTATCCGCTGTCTTACCAGTTGCAACTGTGCAGGAGCCAACCATAGATGTTCCCAGTAGCCTTGGCCTCCAGAGTCCAGAGGCAGTCTATAAAGGAACTGCATACTTTCTGCCCTCTTGCTTCTGCATGTTGCTTTATCAACTCTTCAAGGGCACATTCCATCAACTCTGCAAACCTAAGGATTTCTCACCACCACCACCACCACCACCCCCCCACCACCACACACACACACCTCCATTAGTTCAAGGACATTTGCTGCTGAGTCAGTTATAAAGAAAACACTTATCTAGTAAGTGACTCATTTTGATTAAGCCTGTAGCACAACATGAAATGTGAGGGAAAATGCTAGCCCAAAGTTCTTTTTTGTTTGCTTGAAAAATAAACACTACCTATAATTTCATGCTATTTCATGCTATATTGAAATTGCTACTGCTCATCGATCACCAATAAGCAAAGAGCCTGTTCCATACCTGTGAGCATTCTGTCCTCACAGCCAGTCTAAAAAGTGAGCATTATTTTTACAAATGAGGAGACAGAGACTTGCATAATGGTCCACACCTGTAATCCCAGAAACTTGGGATCCTGAGGTAGGAAGATTGCAAATTTGAAGTCAGCCTCAGCAACTTAGTGAAATTCTGTTTTGGGGGAAAAATATTTTTGTTTTTAAATGCACTGGGGATGTAGCTCAGTTGTAAAGCACTCCTGGATCCAATCCCCAGTTCCAAGGAAAAAAGAAAAGAGAGAAAGAAAGAATACAAAACACCAACAACCAAATGAGAGACTGAGGCTCAGAGGAGTAGAATAACTGGGATGATGAAGCTGAAGAGACAGGATCCCACCTCCAAATTGGGCCTTGACCAGGGCATGATCTGTTGTCCTTTTCTTAAACATCTGGCAGACCCACCACACCCATTATCCCCATCCTGCAGGACAGCAGCCCTTCATCTGAGGCCCACCCTATGTGTCCAGCCAGGCCTACAGTTCCAGGACCTTCTCTTTCTACCTCCTCAGTGCCTTATACTGGGGCGAGAGTGCCACATATACCTCCCCCACCCCCAAACCTTAGCAGAACAGTTGGATTCCAGCTCAGCAGAAATCAGAGGATTAGCAGTCTGCTGGAGCTAGTTTCTGGGATCGGAGTCCCACCGGTTCCAAAGCTGGGTTTGTGCCTTTGAGGTGCAGGTCTTGGGGAGAGGGGAGGGGTGAGAGAGAACTTCCCGCCCACAAACCCCTGAGTAAGGAGATAACGGATTCCAGACGCTGAGTCGGGGTTGTAAGGGTGTCAGTGTTTCTCTTCCCCAGGCCATTCGCCACGACTGTTTATGCAGCAGGGTCTGTCCCCAGGCACGGCAGTCATAGGTGACAACCACTACACGCTTTCCATTTTCCCCTCCCGCCCAGGTACAGGAGCCAGGAAGTCCCGGTTCCTTGAGTAGGGCACTCTGCACCCAAGCCTGGCCCAGTTTGTTGTCCGAGGCTCCCCACAGCTTGCGCTCTGAGACACTGTGGAACTCGGCAATTAAACTTAGGAGATAGTCGGTTGAGAAGCTTCCCTGGGACAAGGCCAAGCTGACGTGGAGCCGAGACTCCATAGGCAGTGCCTGGAGCCGAACTTGTGGATTCCCGGCTTGCAGCTGGCCGGGAGGGGGTTGCATTCCCTAGGACCTGGAGGGATGCGGGACCGGGGTGACATGCCTTGGGGTTGAATGAGTGGAGCCGAATACTAGAGAAGGGGATGGCTCTAAGGCAGCCGAGACGCCAGCTGCGATTCGCCTGGCCCAGGAACAGCTGCTGCCTTCTGAGGTTCCTGGAATATCCCCGGGACTCGTGAGTCGGGGGCGTCCAGAGTCCCCCGTAGGCCACTCACCAGATACATTTAACTGGCCTCCCAGGAACCAGCCGATCTTGCCACTGCTGAAGTCGCAGTCCCAGACTGTGTGGTAGGGGGTGTCCCACACCAGCGTATCTCGCGCCAGCGACCCCCAAAAGGCAGCCGGCTCCTGGGCAGCCTGAGCGCTCAGAGCGAGATACGAACCCGGTTGCGCTGCGGCTACGGCGGGGGCGCTCCCCGAGAGGTGGGAAGTTGCCCCGCCCTGAGCGCTCAGCCCGCGCAGGGGCCGCGCCTGCAGCCCCGGACACCTGCAAAGGCTGCCCAGCAGCCGCCCGACGCCGCGGCCCACACTGCGCGTCGCCATCTCGCCCGACGCCCCAAGGCGGGTGAGAAGAGTCGGGGCTCCACTTGGAGTTTCCGCGAGCTCCGCCCCTGCTCCGCCCTCCGGCCCCCACCCACTCCTCGCCCGTCAGAAGCTGTTAGCTGGAGCCCGCCGGGGTCGCCACCCGTTTTCTCCCGCTCAGAAAAGGAAGAGGGGAGCAGCCTGAGCAAGGGGCACTAGAAGGGAGTGCGGAGCCGAGCTGGCTCCGGGACCCACAAGAGTTCGTTCTGCGCCCAACTGGTCTGCCCTCCCTCCCCAAGGCTTCTGGGCGTCCTGCTGTTTTGGTTTCTGTTTAAGCCTAGACAGCTTCTCCAAGCAGGCGATAGTAGCGGGGGCAAGTGCCACGGGAGAGCAGGCTCAGGAACTGGGGCGCAGGGAGCCTTCGGGGGTGGGAATGAGCTGGCATGGAAGGTAAGAGACTGGTGAATGGAGCGATCGAACCGCACAGGTGAGTCTAAGGACCAAAGTTTGGTCCGTTCAGCATCTCTAAAAGCTGAAGCCAAAGTTTCGATCGCTCTAAGCGCCCCTGAAAATGAACACAACCAGGCGGTGCTGGCTTGTACCCCTCGCTACCGCATGCACACAGAAGCGCCCTGGGGTAAAGAGCTGAATGAGTTGGCAAGAACCCTCAAGCCAGAGAGAGAATGCCTGGGTCCGTGGTCTGAGGGCCCAATGTTCAAGTCACTATCTGCCAGCATCAGTTCTGATAGGGTCACTTCCTGCCCAGGGGAAAAGTGTAACTGAGAAACAAGTGCATGCTCCTGCTAACCTCAGCTGACTCTCGGGTGATGGGGATTTTCTCTGAATTCTCTAGCATCTGTGGCCTGGGTTGAAACCCTGTCATTTTTAGTTCTGTGACCTTGGGCAAGTTCCTTAACTTCTCTGCTTCATTTTCCTTTTCTGGAAAACTGGAGTAATGCCTCTTTCCTGGAGGTTGTGGTAAAGAATAAACTGAATAATGCCTGTTAAATGTCTAGCAGTGGTCAGCATGACGCAAAGTAAGCTCAATAGAGGGGGTAGTGTTTTTGTTGTGTAGGAACGAAGAACAAAGAATGATAGAAAGGAATTTCTCTCTACAAGGTCCTTACATATTTCAACATTCAAGAAGTAAACACATAATAAAGAAAGTAAACATGGAGAAACGGGATTTTTGAAACCGGTTTGTTGAGTTCTTTGTGCTGGAAAGAATTTCTTCTGGTTAGTTGTGATAGCTTCAGAGGAACGAGAGTCTGCCTTCAGAGGGTCTTCTTCCAGCTCAGGCACCAACCCTGTGCAGAATGTTGCTTCCTGCCAGAGAATAGAGATTTATAAGGCAGTTACAGTAGCTAGCACAACATGTGCCCTTCACTGTGCCAAGCACTTGACCTGCATTTTCTACTTAGTTTAAGAGTTATCTAAGCCGGGTTCTGTGGCCCACGCTAGTAATACCAGCTACTCTAGCTACTCTGGAGGCTGTGGTGAGAGGATCAGTTGATTCCAGACAAGTCTAGACAACATAGGGAGACCCTGTCTCAAACAAACAGACAAACAAAAGTAAACAAAAAACGTGGCCAGAAACTGCAAGCCTTAAGACAACAAAAAACAAAACAAAAACATGCAGAAAAATTTTAAAGTTATCTAGTGCTACCATTCCCCTCTGGTTGTTAGTCCTATAGTGGACCACATAAGGAAACAGCCCAAACAAATAAAAGGATTTACTAAAAAAGCACATGGTTGAGCCAAGTGCTGTGATGCATGCCTGTAATCCCAGCAACTCAGTAGGTTGAGAGAGGAGGATCACCACTTTGAGGCCATCCTCAGCAATTTAGCAAGACTGTTTCAAAATAAAAAAGTTAAAAAGGGCAAACAGCTGGGGATATAGTTTAGTGGTAGAGCAGCCCAGGGTTCAACCCCTAATAACACACACACACACACACACACACACACACACACACACATACACACACAAAATAAAAAAGCATATGGTTGCCTAGTGGAAGAAGAAAATTAACTACCAGCATCTCCAGTTAAACCACTTGTCCTAAATTATCGGTTTTAATCAAATATATAAAATTATGAATAGAGGAAATATAACATAGCATGTGGTCTTTCTTTCCCTTGTGTGCACAGGATAACTTGCTGCTCCATCAAATCAAGGAGCTTGTGGTGGGGTGTAACTCAGTTGTAGAGAAAAAAGCACATGCTTAGCATGTGAGAGGCCCTGGGTTTGATCCCCAGTAGCGCCCCGCCCCCCCCCAAAAAAAATGTAGCCCGGTTTCTTGCCCTGAGTCTGGGCTAACCTCAATGCTTTGACCAATAGGACCCGGCAGATAGAAGTGATGCTGTGACAGTTCTAGGCTTACAGAGGCCTAGCAGCCCCAGCTGCTATCACCCAGTTACCATGCAGTGGGGAAGTGATCTCATCTTCTAGAGGAAGAGACTTCACAGAGAGAATAGAGCTGCCTTAGCCCACAACCAGGACCACTAATTTTCCAGACACAAACGAATCCACCTTGGATACTGTAGCATCAGTGTGGTAAAAACGAACCTCCCAGTCAATTCATAGTATGAGAAGTAGTAAAATATTGTTTAGGCCACTAAATGGCAATAGTGGGGCTTTGTTTCTCAGTCACAGATAGCTGATACTACTGGGACCAAAAATTCAGGGTTTTTCTCAGTTCCCTTTATTGGTTACTTTTCATCTCCTTGACCTCGAAGCGTTGGGTTGTTCCTGAGCTTCGTCTTCAAAACCCCTCCCCCCACTTCATGATCACCCCTTAGGAGACAGCAGCCAGCTCTGTGTTCATTGACTTTCAAGTTGATAGCTATAGCTAGGATCTTTCCTCCAAATGTCAGAGCCGTATCCAAATGTTCAATTAATATTTGAGGATTCTTCCTTCAAATACTTTATCTTCCAAGTCAGAGAATGGAAAACATATTTTTCTTATTGTTCAGAGTACACCTTGGTCACCCTAGATTCCTCCCTCTCACACACCATTCACAATCAGTCAGCAAATCCTTGTGATCACCTACAAAATATCTGCAGCATCTGACCCCTCTCCCCATCACCCTTCCCCTCTCCTATCCAAACCACACACACTGCTGTGCTCTTCCCTGCACCTCCCTGCACCCCGATTTTTCAGGGGGCTTCCAGTGGCTTCCACCCTTGCTCTCTAGAGCCTAACCAACAGTCAGTGCAATTGCTTGAAAACAAAGGTCAAGTTCTGGGGATGTAGCTCAGAGGCAGAGCACTTGCCTAGCATACACTGGACCCTGGGTTTCATTGCCAACAAAACACACACACACACACACACACACACACACACACAGAGAGAGAGAGAGAGAGAGAGAGAGAGAGATCAGATGAAATTGCTTTGCAGCTCAGAACAATAATTTAAAGACTTCTAAGTTCCCTCAGAGGAAAGGTCACATCCTTATCCTGGCACACAAAGCTGCATCCTCACTACACAGCACAGAGTGGTCCACAGGAGCATAACAATTACCTGGCCACATTTAAGAAATGCAGACTGCCATACTCCAGTACAGACTTGCATCACAACCTGCATTTTAACATATTCCCAGGAGATCTGTGTGCACATTCAAGTTGGAAACTGCTGTCCTCATCCCCTTCAGGATTCTCTTTCTTCTCTCTCCTGGCTTAGTTGAATTACAGCTACACTGGCCTCCTTCTGTCCTCCAACCACAAGCCATGTTCCCACCTTGGGACCTTTGCATGTGCTCTCCCTTCTGCCTAGAATGCTCGGCCCTAGATGTCTACAAAGACCATTCTCCCAAGTTCCTTCAGGTTTCCTCAAACATTTCTTATCCAGGAAATCTTCTCTTTCTTCTTCATGGAATCACATCTTCAACCCTTCATGACTGAGTCCTAACTACTGACTTTATTTTTTTTTCTGTAGTGTGTGTGTGTGTGTGTGTGTGTGTGTGTGTGTTCTTTGTTTATTTTTCTCTTCTCTTAGTAGAAGGGAGCTCTTGGGGAAAAGAAATACCAGTCATCTTGCTATGTTTCCAGAACTTAGAATCGTCCTGGCATGTAGTAAAATCTCAGTAGATTGTTGTTGAATAAATGAGAAAGATGAAACAGAAAACACCTTTATCATAGCCGTGGGAGTGCATGAGTGATAACTCCCTCTGTCACCTTCACTTTCTAACTTTCTATACTTCTACGGGGATAAAATACATCAATGAACTGCCCCCACCCCTAGACCCCCGTGCTGGGAATGGAACACAGGACCCCACACAGGCTGAGCACGTGCTTCACCACTGAGCTGTAGCCCCAGCTCCTAACTCCTTTTTAAAAATAAATGTGGCTGGTTGTGGTAGCACACACCTGTAATCCCAGGTACCCTGGAGACTGAGACAGGAGACTCTCAAATTCAACACCAGCTTCGGCCTCTTGGTGAGACTCTTGCAACTTAGCAAGATTCTGTTTCAAATTGAAAAATGAAAAGGACTGAGTATGTAGCTTAGTGGTAGAGCACCCCTGGGTTCAATCCCCAGACCAAAACCAAAACAGAATAAAGAAACATGTAGTTTCTGTTTCCTATTCAGGTTGGATAAAGAGAAGTGATTATGTATACATAAAGCATTTCAGAAGTAACCAGATGGTGCAAAATTGCACTTCCCTGCTGTCCAATTCACACCAGTGGCCATGTGGGGAACTTCCTTATGACTGTCACAGTCTAAGGCCAAGGTCACCCCTGCTGCCTCACAGATGGCAGCTAATAACCAACTCTCTGAGAACTAGAAGAAGGGTGAGCCCCATCAGGTCTTGTGTCTGCACAGCTGGCTTCCTGGGGCCCTCAACAGTGGCCTGGCATTGTCACATGCCTGTAATCCCAGCAGCTCCAGAGGCCAAGGCAGAAAGATTGCAAGTTCAAGGCAAGCCTCAGCAACTTAGCAAGACCCTGACTCAACATAAAAAATGAAATGAGGGCTGGGTCAGTGATAGGTCGCTCGCCTAGCACATGTGAGGCACTGGGTTTGATCCTCAGCACTAC